AAATAATAATAAAGGATAAATAAAAAAAATGAGATAGAAAATTTATTCTTCAAATTCATTTTTTGGAAAATATTCACTGACGTCAGAGTCAGGAGTATTGTATTTTTGGTCTTGTGCGATATTTACCAACGCCAGAGTTTGGAAATATTCATAGGAATTGTTCACTGACGCCAGAGTCAGGAACATAAAAGTAACAAAAAAATAAAAAAATGTGTATGCATGAATAAAAATGATGTAAATTTATTGGTTTATTCACTGACGTCAGAGTCAGGAATAAAAATACTAGTTCAAATTTATATTATTTTTATTCGTTGTATTTTATTTTATTTAGCTGGAAAAAATAAAAAATATGTGCATGCGTAAAAATAAATTTATTTGATTTGTTTATTCACTGACGCCAGAGTCAGGAATAAAAAAATACTAATTTAGATTTATTTTATTTCTATAGCTGCGTAATATTTACCAACGCCAGAGTTGGAAATATCCGTAGTTAAATATTCACTGACGCCAGAGTCTGGGATATTATAAGCAAATTATCATAGCACAAACTAATAAACATATAGCAATTTAAGACGAAACTAGCAATGCAGCCTGCCTCAGGCAGGACGTTTAAGGGGTGATATTATCTTCCCTTTTACGTAACCAGTCCCGAATCATAGAATCTTTGTTGACCAGTTAGGGTTCCTAGTGACCATGATACTAGGTGACAACTCCTTAAACAAGATCATTCCCACATAAAAGAACTGGATGCCAGAAATTCATTCTTTCCATTCCATTATAAATTTTTAAGGCCGCCGCGATGTCCGGGTGTGACATAGTATATGTAGTTTGTTTGTGCTTTTACTTGTTTTATAGCCTTTTACCATAGAAATTTATTGTATGAATGTATAGTTTGTACATGCTAGGATTTGTTTGAGATTTTGAATAATTATATTTGTTTGTGATTTGATAAATCTGATTTTAATTTTGTGATTTGGGTATTTTATAATTAAATAAACAATGGCTTTATTTAATGGGTGCATTTTATGTTTTGTCAATTTTATTGTTAACTTGATAATTTTAGTAAATTAAGAGGAATTTCATTTTTTTCATAGAAAATTGATAATGATTTAAGGGTGCTATTAAAATATATTAAATAAGCTTGAGTTAAATTGATGTTAGCTAATTTATTTAGTTCACATAATTAAGCAATACATGTTGTCATTAATATTGTACATAGGTCTGATATAAATAATGGATGATCATTCTTGGATGTATTGAATTTCACTCGAAGGGTGGCGTAAGATGGATTATTTTAATGGGTTTGAGGATTTTATTAATTACTTACTATCTAATCCAAGAACTATTAGTGGAGGTGGTATTAAATGTTCATTTAAGAGGTATAAAAATAAAATAAAATTTTTTGATCCAGATGTTATAATGACGCATCTTCTATAAAAAAGGTTCATGGAAAAATACTTATATTGGTTTACACATGGAGAACCATATGTTTCTTATGAGACCATGATAAAAAAAAAATATGGCTAGGTCAACTTTTAGTTCTAGCAACATGCATGGAGTTATAGATAACAATAGCAACCCTTATATGAATATAACTATGGATGCGATGAGAATAAATTAGGATTATAAAGGTGAATGTCTAGTTGTAGATGAAGAGCCACATACAAATACAGCTAGGTTTTCTGGTCTTTTGTAAGATTATGATGAATCATTACTGGATTAGTACATAAATCATAATAAATTATCGATCATTGCACAAGTGTTTACTATCAAGTCAGATTATGGAATGAGTGAGGTCGGTTACGACTTAAATATCAAATGAGTGAGAAGCATTTTACCTGAAAAGAATAGGCTAAAAGATAACTTTTATATTTCTAAATCCATGATAAAACTCATTGTCATAGGATAATAGAAAATTGACATGTGTCTAAACTTCTACATGTACTATTTTGAAAATGCATAATTGACCAAGTGCAATATATGTGAGTATGCTCGTTATCGTTATAAACCTATAATTGACAAGGGAAAGACTTTTTATCACAAATAAAAAACTTATATACTTCTTAATCACTCATAGAATGCAAAGGTTATTCATGTTTCTAAAAACTATTGAACACATGACATAACATTATTCACATAATGAGATAGATAAAGTCATTGTGTATATTTTTTATAGTGAAGCCTAGAAACATATCAAGGAATGTACATTTTAGGTTATTTATAGATGGACTCAATCCATTAGGTCATTTGTTATTCTTTATTTTAGTTGGCCGGTGATATTTATGGTTTACAACTTGCCATTAAAGATGTGTATAAGTTTGTAGTTCATGTTTTTATCTATGATCATACTCGATTCTAATAATCTAGGTCAGAATAGAGATGTTTGTCTTCAACCTTTCAAGTAGTTGTGATCATTCTGGACTTTTGACTTATGATGTCATAAGGAAACAAAGTTTTTGGATAAAAACAACTTTGATGTGGACTATAAATGATTTTCCCGCATGTGGAATGGTTTCTAGTGGAGCACATATGGAAAATTAACATATCCATACTATATAGAAAATAACAAGGCCTTTACCTTAATAAATGATGGTAAAATATCTTTTTTTTTATTGTCACTAGCGATTTTTACCACCTTATCACAAGTATAAAAGGAATAGAAAAAAATTCTTTGTTGGTAAAGTTAAAGGAAGTTACAACACATGTATCGTTGGATGAAGATTATATGAAGTGGTATTGTAGTATGATGATATTGTATTTGGTTTTCAATTCGATTAGTAAAAGTTTCTTGACATTGGTGTGACCTAAAATTAGGTAAAGCAAAGTGTTTTCTAGGAGTTTTCTTATTGAAAGATTAATCTTATCTACCATAATCTTAATGTTGTGTATATTGAAAAAAACAATATTTGAAAATATTTTTAACACGATAATGGTCATAAAAGGGAAGACAAAGAACAACATGAAGGCTAAAATAAATATAATTTTTTTTTTCATTTTAAAAATATAAAGTTAGTTTATGATAGATTATAGGTCGCAAAGCGCAAAGCCAACTTTGCCTTAGACAATAATACATAGTTACAAAAAGAAACAAAGAAAAAAAAATATTGGAAGAAAAAAAACTAATTAAAGGAAAAAAAAGCTAATTCAATTAAATTAACTCATCAAACTTGGGATCTATGTTATGAGAGTGTGATAACTAAATAAAAATATTTAATATTAACAAACTAAATTAAACAAAAAAATTAATTATAAAGAAAAAAGGCAAAAAAAGAAGAAAAAAACCTATAACTAAAAGGCAGATTTCCTATCACTATGGATTGCTGATTAGCACTTAAAAGAGTATTTTTATTAAGGTTTTATATCATCATTTTTCACTTGAAATATGAATAACTCCTTAAATAAAGCATGTTTTATAATAATATATCTAATAATATAAGATACCTTTAATTTAAGATAAATGTTTATCTTAAATACAGGCCTATTACATAAATAAAAAGATTGATTGATGAGTTGAAATATTGAAATTGAAAGCACAAAAAGATAGTCAAACTTTTAGAAGAGATGCTAGTGCAATCGAAACTAGAACACTGTTTGGTAATTAAGTCATATCTGAAGCTGTAGATCTCGGATTTAGATCTACTTTATATGGATGGAAATGTAAGAAATAGGCTTACAACTTTCATGTAGAGTCCAAGATTTAAAAAAGCTATTTTCAAGTCCAAATTGTTGCAACAACGAAGAAGTCTGAATCTGTTTTGCAGCCCAGACACTGTTCAATGTTCAGCTTATATCTAGTGTTTTAGTAGTCCAAATGACCTCAATATTTTTTCTTAAAAAGCTAGGACAACTTTCTACAACTTTCACGTGGAGATTTGGTTCAAATTCTGACGTTATCAATGATGTTTTGGGTAGACAAGAAGATAAGAATTGTCACCAAGTCAAGAGTTGGCCACCCACTCAACAATAAGTCATCAAATCAATAGTTTCTAATTTTGGCCTATAAAAGGAGACATTTGCCATACATTTAGACATCTTGATTTCCAGATCAAGATCATGCTCTTGCTTTCTCTCTTTGTATTTTTGTAATGCTTAAGTTTTACTTTCATTAATATCTTTTTTATGCCTTTTATTTCCTTTCCTTTATTCAGTTAACTTTTATTTTATTTGTGTTCTTATCTTGTTTATATATATTTCTCTCTTTCATTATATTTAGTTAAGTTTATTATATCAAGGTAAAAAGGTTACACTAATGGTGTAAGAATAAGTATAGTGTAAACTCATCATGGACATTAATGTTTGATACTAATATGTTTTGTATTTGTTATCTTGTTCACTTTTTAATTCTTTGCTTGTTAAATGATTAATCTAGATTTATATTGTATAACATTTGGTGGCACTTTCATAGTATACACTATATGGTATAACTGACACCTGTGCTATGAAAGGAACTTAATTTCCTGTTAACATGAGTTATAATCATGAATGTCTTACAATATTTACAAGTATTAGTATTATTAGAATAAGATAACTAATGTAATTATGTTAATAATTTATAATCTGATTGAAACTTCCTTTGTGTGTGGTTTCCAATTGAATAATAAGAGTTTATACTATACTTATTTAAAATACCATTAGTGAATCTTTTAACCTTGATATTTGTTGTTATCATTGTTTAATTCTCACATTGATCTTCCATCTCAAAGTTTTCATCAACTTTCTTTTCTTTTTCTTTATTAGTATTACTAGTATTATTGTTGTTGTTGTATTATTGTTGTTTATAATTTATACAATTAACTTCGACCTCGGTCTTGTCGGGTTATTTATTATTTTAACACTTCTATACTTGGGAGAAGATATCAATCTTTTGATCGTTTCAATTGCACTGTGCAATCCATAATAAAAGAAAATTAGATTAACCTATCGAACTTGAAGTTCGTGTCAGTGTGATAATTAAATAGAAATTTGTTTATATTAACAAACTAATTTAAACAAAAAAGATAATTAAAAAGAAAAAAGCAAAATAAAAAAACTATAACTAAAAGGCATCCACCTTTTACTGTGGATTACACAGTGCAATCCACAATGAAAGGTTGATGTCTTTTAGTTATAGTTACACTATGGATTACACAGTGCAATCCACAATGAAAGGTTGATGTCTTTTAGTTATAGTTACGATATTAAAAGATAAATTGGAAGGAAAAAAGCTAATAAAAAAATATATAAATCAACTGGGTTAACTTACCAAACCTTGAATTTGTGTCTGTGAGTGTGATAACTAAATATTTTTTTTTAATATTACCAAACTAAATAAATAAAAACAAAAAAAAAACTATCAAAAGAAAAAACTAATTAAAAAAAATCTAAATTCCAAGTTAATTCATCAAACTATGTTAACCGATAAACTTGAGATTCGTATTATGAGAGTGTAATAACTAAATAGAAAAAACAATATTAATAAACTAAATTAAACAAAAAAAAATTAATTAAAAAAAATCTATATTTGTCTTTCCATGTGGATTGCATACTCGGTAAAAGGCTGGTTAGTTTTAATTTATAGATAATTAGAAATTAATTAAATAAAAGCTCAATAGAAATGAACAATAATTTTCCATGCAGTCACGGGGCCCGTGGCTTGTGATGTATGTATAGCAGACAAGACAATTGTTTGAGTTAAGAAAATTGTTTTACCTATGTGCTTTATTGAAGTGCCATTCATCTATATATATAATAAGTGCTTTATTGAAATGCCATTCATCTGGAAAAAAAACAAGCGTAGTACAAACATTATAAGCAGTTTCAATATTTCTCTATTTCACTTCAATCCATATTGTTTAAGAATATCTCAATATTACCCTTTCTGTTTCCAAATAGCTTCGATATTACCCTTTAAGAGGAAACAAAAAGAGAGAAAAGTGAGCAAATATGAGAATTCATCTTATTATTGGTTAATTAGTAGTAAATGGCATGGTTGAAACTTCTTAAAAACTGCATATGTAACATGAAAATGTTCTAATTCTAGAGGTCGAAGTGGGATGTTAATGAATCTACAGGTATCGAAATGAATTTCATTTATTTATAAAGCAGATTGACTCAGTTGTCGAGCCACGTGTACGAAACAGGTAATTAATTAATGGACAGACCTCTCATAGCAATAATTTTAAAATCCGATTCGGTCTTCGATGCATGGTAATCTGAATTAATAAAAAAAATATTTATAAAAAATATATAATTAATTATAATACAACATTTATATAAATCAAATTTAAATTATTTATTAGATTAATAATAACAACCTAATTATTAATGACACATAACAGAATAAGACTATTCGATGCTCAAGGATTTTGTTTCTTGATTTTGAAAAAACAAAAGAACATACCACACTGTCGACTGAAACATCCAATATTTTTGTGTTTATCTGCTTGAATACCTCATAACGGTCACTAAAAGCAGTGATTTCTCAGCACACAAGTAAGACAAAAAAAAAAAAATTGAAGAACAATTAGCACCCACAACTCACTGAAACTTCAAATTACATTTGCTGAGTTCAAAACAAACCTGTGGGACAAACAAATGTGAAGTCCAATGGATAGAAAAATAGAACCACATATTTCTTCAGATAGTTTAACCTGAAACCAAAATTACCAAATCAAACTAGAGTTTAAAATAAACAACAAAACATAACCGCAATTGCAAGGTGGTAACAAAATTAATTCACGTTCATTAAAAGAATATAATTTTCACAAAGAAACCTGAATAAAACATATCTCCACTAGCTTGATTGACACATTATCGTTGTTAATCAAGTTAAAAATTAACCAGTTGAGATTTTACAACGATCAAAGCAGCAATTAACTGTTTTTTCAAGTCCAAACTTCACCAAACAATACTTCAATGTACATTAAGAAATTTAATTAAAAAAGTCGGTTAAACAAGGAATGACAACAACTCCTTATATTCAACAGCATTGTAAGCACAAACTACCTTAATAAACTCTTGATCGAAAACAGCCTCAGCCTCGAAATTCGGTGCTACGTTTCCAACCAATGGAAGTTCACTCTACACGGATGAAAACGAAAGCAAACCTAGTTAGAGACTAATTATCAAACACAAGAGAAGCATTTACAAAGAATTACTATAGAAATGCAAATTGAAGGTATGAAAATCATCGATCGAATCTGAATTATTTATTTATGTTTGAACTTACAGAGGCTTTGACAACGAAAGGACTTTGAAGGACTTGGAAAAAGACTACTTATAACTGCCGGGTCATGGTAATAACGTAACAACATCAAAAAAATTATGGTAATAAGTATTAAATAGAATCATGGTAAGAGCATTCTAAAATTCATCATCGATTAACATAAAAAATTGTAAACAACAAAGTTTTTACTTTTGTGATGGAAGTTGAAATCGGATTGCAAAAAAAAAATTGAATTAATTAGGTTTACAATAACCGTCTCCAATATTGCATCATTCTCCTTCACTTTTCAGTTTTCAGTGTTTTGATCAAAACGATATCAATTAATTACTGCTAACATAAAAAAAATGATTGGGTCTTACCCGGGTGAACCGGGTTCAATTCCCAAATGAGTTTTATCTCCACCTAAACAAGTTTCAAACCCGAGTTAGTTGGATCCCAGATTAATTTCCCAAACTAATCTGAATTTTAAAATTATGCTAAAAACCATGATGGTCGGTCTCCTCTGTCGCCTGCATGGGCTAACGTTTTCTCCAAAGGGAGTATTGCACTTCCTATGTAATGGATGCTCTGTCCCTTTCTGATCATGACCAGGCTAATTAATTGGCCAATAACCATGTTTCCTAGGTGTTGCCTCCTATCGAAGGGTAACATGTTTCAAAAGGCATGAAAAAAAATCCCTAGATATGATTTTAATATCAATACATTAAAATATTAAAAAATATTAAAAAAAATATTAATTAAAAAAATAAAAAAATTATTTTTTAAAAAATTATTTTTAAAATACAAGAACCAAGATGCTAAGGAATGCATTGCTCGTAACTTTTACATTTTTATGGAGTACTTTAACATGAATAGATTACACTTTTGAAACATGCATGGTTACTATTAATTTCGTTTCGTGTTGAGAAAAAATATTTTTTTAATAGGTGATATAGATCAGTTAATTTACATTAATCATTCAAGATATCATTTAACGAGATAATATTTTAATATATATAGTATTAAATTTTTAATAGTTAAATAATTGTAAATTCAAATCTTACTATATAAGTTATATACACGTTGAGAGTACAGAAATTGATACTGTCATGGCTCAATTAGCCAGCCAAGAGTATAAATAAAATATGGTTTTTTTAGCTTTATTTTTGTTCTCCTATTTAACCATGTCTTTAATGTCTAAATGAGTTGCTTAATAAAATTCTCTTCTTTATAACCTGGTTAACTGCCTACTAACATCTTTGCTGTATTTTTTTCTACAATTTCCTCTTCATTTTCTTGATAGTTACAAACTTTTCTATTTAAGATTCATTTTATGGAGAAAATATTTAAAAAAAAAAATAAGTTATTTCTCATTGATTACACACATCAAAAAAAATATTTTTAATAATTTTAAATAATAATAATAAAATAATAATAAAGATTACATTAATTAAAAAGCTGATAATAATAACGATAACTAGTGGTAGTAATTATTTTTGTGATAGTAATTAGGTCAAAGTGACAATAATAATGAAATAGCAGTGCATTGATAGCCAAGTTGTAGCATCAATAATGACAATAATAATAATGATGTTAGCATAGTGATAATAATAATTATTTTAATAATAATATCACAATAATAATGGTAATGGTTGTATAAATAAGAAAGGGTTGATTACCTTGATAATAAAGTGATGATAACAAGTAGTGTGATGGCCCGTGATGATATGATATGAAGGTGGTAGTGTTAATAATCTTATTGAAATAGTTAAGTTATGATGTTGGTAAATATTATAAACTGAAAGTTATACCAAGGAAAATATTTCTTAAGATTTAAATATTTTTCTTTAAAATATCACCATTCATGATTTTATTAAAAACTATATTATATTAAATTAATTTGTTGTTTTTGTTTGCATTGAAAAATCACAAAACAAACAAGCTTTTGATAAATTCACTCGATTCTCCTTAAAAAATATATCTCCACTGACCCACTAATGATCTCGGCACCAATGAAGAGAAAGATATATAAAATGCAAGATTTATTACTAAAGTCCAAACTAGTTGGATGGATTTACAATTATAAACAACTTTTCTCTCATGTGTGTATATATATATATATATTAAGCAATTTAGTCTTTACATTTTCACGTGCTATGGTCCACTCTTGTATGCTTTTTCTTTACCATTATCTTTCCATCCTAGCCTGTCGAATTGCATGAATACAGCTGTGATGATTGATGAAGCCAAGAAGGAAGGAGTGGTTGGAAAAAAAAAATGATAAAAGTTTCTGGTTCATGAAATAAAATAAAATAAAATAAAAACCACCCTTCATCGACGGAGGGCACAATTTGGTTATTAAAGGGTTTTTTCCCCCCCTGAAAATAATGAAATTGGCATTATTAATCTGTTTGTTTTCCTTAATACAGGTGCTTCTATATAATCATAATTTGCAAACTTAAATTTCAAATCTCAAATCAATTGGAGGAAATTTCCAAATCAGAGCAAACCATCAATTTGCAACAAATCCTTTTAAGCTAGAAATGCACTCTAATTACCTTCCCTGAAAACATGTCCAAGCCTATTGACCCGTTGTTTATTCACCAAGACAGAAAAACTTCCAAGCTTAATGACCCATTCTTTCAAAGAAGTTATAGTATTTGCATGAGCAGTAATGTATATATAGTTTACGCTATCAATTTTTTTAGAAATTCTTTGTTAGTATTTATACTTATAATCTATTGATATGAACTTCCTTGATGGGCTCACAAACTACAATACTTCATAAAAAAAGTTCTTGTTAGTGATTTGTAGTCTATCAATACATCTGTCAGTAATAAGTTTATTAATAAATTTATTAATAATAAAGACACTCTAAATTAATTAACTTAGTATTTTTATAAATTAATGTATGTAATTTCATTAGCAATTTGTTTTTCCAATAACATGTTTCTTAGTAAATTTAATATATAATCATCAAACAGATTATAATTTTATCAATAAATAAATAATAATATTAATAGTAATTTCTCAATTAGTTATCAAGTCCAATTACTCTAAACAATAACTAACTCCATCATCCAATTAATTCATCAATCACAATAACACTCCACCAATCTAAAAAATTTGTGTGAAAAAATCATTCATGTTTAAAGTTTTTACTACTTGATGACAATCTTTTATAAATAAGCTATATATTATATCCTTGATAGACAGAATCCAATCCACATATCGCATGCCTTCTTTCCCTCCTTCCCTCCAAATACATAAATACAATTATACAAGTTCCGTCTATCTAGTCCTATTAGATATCCCAATCTATTTTCCATCAGCTATTAAAAGAAATTGGTGTCTTCTTCGTAAGGTTTTTTTTTTTTTTAGTTTATTCATTTAAAAAAATCTTTAATTTATTGTCACAGTTCACAAGTAAATGGGTCATAATTTCTAATTTATCCCATATAAGAATAAATAACCTTATAACCTTACATTAAAGTCATTTGTTTTTTGTGATGAGTCTACTTATCCAAAAAAAAAAAAAAGAAAGGGAAAAAGAGAAAGTATAGAAAAGACAATAAAGAAATTACAAATTAATGTAGAATATACATGATGATATTTGTCAATCTCTAAAGTTTTACAACCTTAAATTATAAAGAAATAATTTAGACTTCTCAAACCTAATGTTATGACTATTAAGCACGTAGAAAAAATTAAAAACTGTTTTATTTTCTAAAAAGTACTTTTTTATAAAATTTCATATTGAAAAATAACCTACAAAACTATATAAAAAAAATTCTAATTAGTAAAATTTTAATTAAATTGAAAGTTATCATTTAAATAGAAATAAAAACAAGAAAATATAGAAAATTTTAAAATAATAGCTTAATTCTAAACTTAATTTGGGTCTGAAAATGCAACGAGTTGCTTCACTAACAACTTTTATATAATTAAACATCTAAATTAATCTAATAAAATTTCAGTTCAATCTAATTATCAGATTAAAAAGTATATTCATTATCACTAAACTATAAAATTAAAAGAAAATCTTAATAATTAATAAAATAATATAATAAGAATAATGAAGCTATTACCTCAAATAATATATTGATTTGAAGTATTTTTGATTGATGTTATATGTATTGAAGTATATATAACAAAATAATTGTAAAAGTATATAAATCTTTTAATATTTTAAATTCTAATTCGTCATAGCTTTTATATTAAACAGGTTTATATTATAATAATAAAAAAATTCCTCTTGCCTTCAAAGTTTTAGAAAAAACTAAATAATGCACAAGTATTTTTTATTGATGTTATATATATAGAAATACTTTTAATAATATATATATATATATACACGCAACAATAAAAAGTAATTCTACATATAAAAAGCACTTTTGATTGTTACTGGAGCTAGCTATTGTCCTCGCAAGCGGATGTGAAAAGAGGCAGGCTAGCTAGGGACGGGATACAAACAGCGAAGAATGATTCCATGCCATTCACATACCCTTGCCGAGTCAGAGTCTCCCTCGAGCAAAAATAATAGACTCTATCATCTGAGAAGGACAGTACAGCACGCACGTACGCCAGCTGCTTGAAATAATGGCCTTTTGTTTCGAAAGAAGGAAACGACGCCCGGCCGGTAGCTGAGATATCGAATCCAATTCCAGAACCACACACTTTTAAGGTCGGGCACCATTTTTTTTTTATTCGTTTTTTCTTGGAATTCTAAACCTTACCATTTTTTTATTATGCCCTAAAATCAAAGCTTTCAGTAACATACTGGGATTTCAAATGAAGTTTCTTGGTGATACACAGGGAAAAACATTATAGCTAGGATCCATTTGGTATAATATTTCATTAAGCATATAAAACGATTTTATTTAAATAAAATTATTAGATAAAAAATTGAATTGAAAATCACAAGATAGTCCATTTAGACTATATTTTCATACACAATTATTCCTAAAAAAAAAACAGCAAGAATTTAATTAGTATAGATATGCTAAAGACTTGTATGCATCTTTTCAAGAACTATGAGGGGG